CTAATGACACTGTGAGATATGAATGATGACATCAAACCGAAGTCAGTGGCGTGAATGCACCCTTTCTTGTCCGTTTGTTGACGGCATTCTGATGATTAAGATGTCCAAAAATGCCTGATGGTAATCATTTCCCCGTCTACATTGTGAGTTTGTTGTCATTGAATGTTGTTGATAAATTTGTGTTCCCTCTAGCCTCGACTTCTTCAAGATGATGAATGTGTCGTCGATGTATCGGAGCCCAAGTTTTGGCATGATTCTTCTCCAACTTCTGCATTACAGGCTCGGCTATGCATCCATAAATCGGTGATCCCATTGGTGTCCCGTTCAGCTGTTCGAATTTGTATATCTGAGTGTAAAACTTGCTTCGATTGACTGGTTGGGTGGGTGTTCAGTTATCAACTCGCGCAACGTGAATTCTGCCAGGTTCAATTCGATCCAAGTGAGGTCAGTTTAGTTTTTACAACCATTAAACATGCACTTTCGTGCGCCGGTTTTGGTTGCTGTCTTTTGGTTACCCATTTGAATAAAAAAGCAGAATGAAGATTGGAATGTTGAAAGCAAATTCAAGCGGAAGATATCGAATTTATATAGACTGAAGTTACAAGCATAATGGATAGATGTATGAGCGCCACTGTTTGCGACACCCAACAATATCACTCAGTGTCTCTAACCATCGGTGACTACAATCTCGGGGTCCCCAGCCGGGGAGCCTAACGGGACCTATGTGACCTAGTCTCCTGGTTAGGATTTTCATACCCTCATGCCAGGTCATCGTTTGACCAATCTTGAACGTTTTCCAACCGCTACCTGCCTCGGTAAACATCACTCGCAAAGGCAACCTATTTGGTGGCATGCGTACAACACGCCCTATGATCTATGGAGGTCGACCACTTGTTCCAGTGGACGACCGCGACTGCCTGAAACTCTACGCCTAACCTCAGCATTGCTCGTCCGGTTACCCCACCAGACTCGTCCAATGCTACGTAGACAGCGATGTTCGAACACCGATAATCTATTTTTATCCTGTTCCCGTAGTGGCCAAGTCTCTGCACCGTAGAGCAGAACTGACTGAACTGCTGCAGCATATACTCGACCGTTCACAGACAGCCGGATGTCGCGAGGGCGCTACAAATGTCTCAAGTTGGCAAATGCCAACCGAGCCTTTTGTATTCGCGTCGACACTTCATCTGTGATGCGTCCGCCAAGTGAGATATGGCTGCCCAGATAAAAAATTTATCTACTTCCTCTATTACTTCCCCAGTCAGGGTGAGACTGGATGCTGGACGAAGGAAGTGAACGAAGCGATGACGTCGAAGGAGGCCATTATTTCGTCTTCTTGGATGTTGACGGTTCTGAATTCGTCCAAGAGACGCCTTGAGTTCATCACGCTATGCTCGTGCACTGCGGTTAATGGTTTCAGTCATTTCCATAATTTTTTGCCAACTTGTATGAGGCTGTTCCTAGAAGAGAGACGATCGGCCACAGGGGAATTTCTTCCTTTAGCACCTTCGAAAGTCCGGAGAACTGTGCGATAACGGACCTTTTGGCTCTCATTCCTCAATGCTCTTTCAGTATTTGACGCAGTTCCTATTGTCCAGGAAGAATTCTTTCAAAACCAAAAGAGAGAACAATGGAAAAATACAAAAACCATATTCTCCACAAAATTAGCTTCAAGAACTGCCCAAAACACTATATAGGACAACATGGTACAAAACGATCAACAAGGATCCGTGAACATCAATCGATAGCCAAGAGGCATGATCCACTGTCGTCGATTTCCCTCCACGAGGATAAACAGGAATCAGTGAAAAGCATCGGCCAAGCCGGGTCACACTAGCGAACTGTTCGAGGCTTAGTACTCATCAACGAACTCAATA